CAAGAGCAGTGGAGGAAGGTTCAGGTTAGGACTAGGGTTGGCAAGGTGGGCTTGCAGCCGCTCTTTAATACACTCTGCCCTGCCTCCGCTACCTGGGTATGTATAAGCCTTTAGGAGACATATGAGAACATTGGAGCTTAACCGTAACATGTAATAGACATGATTAATAACTTGTGTATTCTGCAGTGAGTTCCATCTTCTCTGCTTGTTATATTTGCCTTTGGGACCAGGGATTCCATTAACAGTAACATTTTGTTAAAATTGTGCTGGTCCATCTGTTTTAGTTCCGGTAAGACTTTTGGCTCTTCCTAATTGTTTATAATTAATCCTTTTAGTCACAAATGAGTCCTTTCACCAGTTTTCACAACAGAGACCTATTTTCAAATTCCTTTCTTATATAATTAAGAACCAGTGTGGTAGCATCATTAGAGCATAGGACTGGGACTCAGGAGATGTGGGTGATTTGATACCAGACACAGTCTCTTGGTCTAACCTACCTTGCAGGGTGGTTGATGGGAGGATAAAATTGAGAGGAGGAGGAAGATTATGTAAGCCACCTTGAGTTTCTTGGAAGGAAAAATGTGTTGTAAATTCAATAAGTAAAATAAACAAAATTGAATATGCCTATCTAATTTGCAGAAGTTCCTTGTGGAAATAACTTTTTCAAGAAACTTCTTTCTCTTCCTTTGGAAATGTGTCTACAGGGTGGGATAGTGAAGCACTGAACGTCTCTCCCCCATACCAAGCACATAACATTGGGTGGGTTTGCCCATCATGATAAACCATTTTGGTAAATCACCATGTTGGGTTGGCATGAAGTGCCAAGTAGCCATAAGGAGCCCAAAAGATGGATGGTTGCCTCTTTCCCTTTCAAGCTTCATTGTGGTGTCCTTGGGGACAGCCAAGAGATGCGTGAGCTCCTTTCTTTGGCAGCCCCAGTCAGAAGCTCGAGTTCAACTCCCCATGGCTGTCAAGGAATCCCCACTGTACAAACAGGGTTATGCTCTGAAGCTTAGCAGAGAGGATGAGGGAGGTGATCAGGCACCCTTGCCTCCTCTATTGCCCAGCTTTGGATTATACAATAAGTGCTTATGATAGCGAGAAATTCCAGAACAGAGCATTGTGTTTCACTGTGGTTGCCAGCTATGACTGAGTGAAGCAACCAATGTTTTCCGTTGTCATGTGAATCCAAGCCACACAGAAATCACATAAAGCTGATATGCATGATCTTGTCATGCAGTTAACAATAGATTTTTGGAAGCTTCCCAGTATTAGATATGTAAGAAAAATGCTGTGCTGTTTATTTCCATGCCCCTAATAGCGCTACCCACAAAATTGTTAAAAAGGAATAGTCATACCCGCTGTTATTCCCTGTGTAGAGGCTGCTTGAAATTGTGCTTCATGGAAGCTGATCTATGCGGTTAGCAGCTCCATGTACATCATGTGATTTGATGGACAGTGTGCCCCAGAATATAATAAGAACCATATTGGAGCAAACCTAGGATCCGCCAAGCCAAGCATTCTGTTCATTCATCAGGCAAGAAGCTGCTTACGGGACTCTCTCAAGCAACGCATGAGTGCAGGAGCACCCTTCCTCCCATGTTTCTCAGCAATTGGTGTACAAAGATACTTTGCCTCGTATACAGGAGGTAGATGTAGCCCTCAGGGCTAGTATTCCTTAATAGCGTTTTCCTCCATGAATTTGCCCAATTCCCTTTTAAAGCCCTCCATCACTACATCTTGGGGAAGTGAATAACACACTTTAAATATATGATCTGTGAAGAAGCACTTCATTTTATCTGTCCTGAAACTCCCATCAACCACCTTCATGGGATGACCCTGGTTGTAGTATTATGAGAAAGAGAAATGCCTCTGTACACGTCTATCAAGTTTCTTGTAACTGTTCCTCATAGGGGAGTTGCTGTAATCCCATGATCATTTTAATTGCCCATTTCTGATCTTTTATAATAACCTTTTTAAGGTGCCATGACCAGAACTGAACATGGTATTCTAAATATAATGGTGGCTGTACCATAGATTTTATATCAGCAGTATGTTATTGGCCATTTCCCTTCCCTTCCCTTCGCACAGTAGCCAGATACTTGAGTTGTCTGCCAAGATTTCTTTCTTGGTCAGCCATTGCTAATTCAGATCCCATCAGCTTAGAGTAATATAGCAGCCCTCCTGGCGTGCCATATCATAACAGAAAATGTCTGAGTTGGTTCTTAAATACTGTGTGTGTAGTTTCTTGCCAAACTTGCCCATTCTCAATAAGCATTATTTAGTAACATTGTAGGGTTTTTATCCTCTGTATGGTTTTCCTTTCATTATATACCTTAGACTGACCTCTATGGTATGGTTTATTTCCATGCTGCAGCCTTATATTCCACATCATCATTTACTACACATATCATGCAAATCACTCTACTGGTTACCCTACAAAAATAAACATTTTGTCATAACAAAGGACATAAGATTCATCTGAAACTTTGAATGGGTCAGTTTTCCTGATTATTTTCCAGGAGTCACAGAAAATTTCCAAACCACTATGAAGTGACCCTTTGAATGTTCAGCCGTAGTTCAGATAGATAGATAGATAGATAGATATAGTTTGTTTGTTTGTTTGTTTGCAATTGGAAAGTCATGGATTATGCTGTACCAGGTTCCAGCTTTCTGAATGGCCCAGGAGTTCCCTAGCTATGCTTGTGGAGTTCCAATTTTTCAAGGATAGACACATTCATATCTCTCTTTGTACTTTTCTAGTAATCATGGTATCTTGTCCAACATATGTACCACATATGATACAGGAGTGGCTTATTCATTTTCAGATATACTTTGAGTCTTTTCTATTGGGAAATGTAGAAGTGTTCAGTTTCTAGAGTTTTTAAAGAAACTGGGTTGACTCAGACTTCATGTCTACTACACTTCAATTCTCTGGTACACTGAGAACTTGCTTAACAATTTTGATAGGTTTGTGAGTGATCAGTTGATCAGATTTAGTCAGGGTGTAGTAATAGTAACATAATAGTATTAATCGTGTTCGTATTATGTAAGCCCACAAGTTAGTTTTGTGTTTATCTTTCCCCAAATTAGAATTTGCAGAGATTCATCTTCTGCTTGATTTATCCTGAAATGCTCTCCTCTATTATGAAGTAAATTTCATGCTCCAGGTTTTTATACGGTAGCCGCTTATGCATTGCTATAAAGAGGAAAGGTGTAACAAAAAAGAGGCACAGATTTGCACTAATTCAGATATATGGATGCAAATTTAGGAATAAAATGCTGTAATTTTAATAGAAATATAATATGCCTCACCAGTGTGGGAAACTGGCCAGGTGACCTGTGTGCTTGTTGTTGTTGTCTGTGGTGCAGGCGTTAACTGTTGATGGGCCATGGCAAAACTGTTGTTTCTCCTCCTTACAGTTCTTTGACTTTAAACCAAGTTTGGACTGAGCAGCCTTTCAAATAGAGGGCACCTCCTAACAGATGACTGTCCACAGACATGCCTTCAAAATAGGACACATGCTCATCTAATGTTTGACTCTGCATTATAAAAAATGCCCCCTTTTCAGACTAATAACGCAACATGTGCACCAAATTTCAGGTTTCAGAATGGCTTGGATGTACAGTAACCACTTTGTGTTCAGACTTTTGAATCTGAACCTTGGACCATGCACAGTATGTGCTTAATTCAGTGTGTCCTGGAGATTCCTTAATCCTTTGGAGGCACATGTTGCATTCCCTGTGTTTGCTTGGGGTGGACAGATGCTTCACTGTGATTTTTTTTGTAACTGAGGTATATCAGACTATATCATTAGTAGTATTAGTATTAATATTAATATTATTAATAATAATATAAATAATAACCACACGTGAAACATGGCTTACATGACTCCATTTCATTTTCACAATCACCACCTGTGAGGAGCCCTGCAGGACTGAATTGTATGACATAGAAAACATGGAAAACATGTGGCAAATAATAATTTTGAAATTTTTGATGCCACCCCTTAGATTTTACAACATGGATTATGAAATATGTACATTGATTAAGTCCTTTGAAATAAAATACGAGCAATATGCTTTCAACAACTTGTCTATACCTAGCTGAGCATCTTTTAAGGTCGTTTCATGAATCTGCTGGAATCCATGCTTGTCTAGAAAGCTTCAGCAACATACTGTCCTGGTGCCCAACCCCATCCCCCTTCAGTGACCCCAACCTAGGCCTGAAGCTCCCTAAATTTTTATTTGGTGCTGCCTTTTTCCCTTCAAATTCCTTTTGAACCCATGGGTTTCTGTTTTCACTACTTGTTGTTTATCACATGCTTTGTAATACTTTGTAGGTTTTCAGGGACCTTCCACTTCTTTTTCTATTACTATTATCATTAATAGCCATTAAATCTCTGCAAGGCAGGATGTACACTGACAGTATTGTATGAATGATAATAAATACACAATAAATCAGACTTTTTGGTGGTATGATTGGATAACTCATTTTTTATTACTATAAAATTTGTAATCACATTAGACACAGTCCAGCAGCTGGACTGTGGGCTTAATTAGCAATAGCAACAGTGATGCTGGGACTACTTGGAACCCACATCTGCCATAATAACAAATGCCATATACTTTTGTTTTGAATAAGTTAACAAAGCTAATTTAAAATGTTATCCTCTTAAATTTAAAATGATGGGCTGCTTCATTCCATTGCTAGGCTAACAGCTATCAACCAGCTTAAAGAAAAATAACAAACAGAAGTTCTTTTCTGATTTTCAGATCTGTTGTGTTATAATACGGATGTATAGGAAATGTGAAGGATTATGATGATGATTATATCACTATTAGCCCGTGTGTGTGTGTCCTGTGTTCACAGCCTACTTGTTTTGTGGTTTGAATACTTCTTGTCAAGTTGAAATGAGGTCAAATTACAGCTAAACCAATTTTTTACTTTAAAAGTTTTTCATCTCTTTTTAATAGGCTTCCATTATGTGTTTTTACAGCAAATTTAGTAGTGGAGGAGCGAACAAGACAGATGAAAATGAAAATGCACCGTTATAATCAGACAACAGGGTCTGGTTCTAGTCAAGAACTTGAACGTGAGCAATATACCAAGGTAAAGATAGTATTAAAATCTGATACTTTATTCAGAAAGGTCAAGGATATACATGGATGTTGAAAGTATGAAATAACAGCAGGCTATCTAGGACGAAACTGTAATTGAAAGTCGCTATAAAGACTGATTTCCCGTGGTCACCAGAATTTCATCCCTACAATTTTTCATAAGAAGCTTCTGAAATAAATAATCTTGCTACAGGCATCTGATTTCTATGTCTCGGCAGAAAATTCATGGAGATTATATATTTATAAATTTATAGGCTGCTGAATAAGCTGGCAGGACCCACTAAGAGGTATATAGTAATATAATACAAGTCAACATATTACAATTCCTAGTATTTTTAAAGAAATCCAACTGCTGGTAGTGCAAGAGCTGTTAAAATAACCAGTTGTTAAAATCGGATTTCAAGATGCCTGGAAAAAACTACTGTCTCCACCTGACAGCAAAATGAAAGTAGCAACATTGCTTGGTGGAACTCACTAGACTCCAAAAGGAATACAAATGACAAAGGGGGGGGGCAAAAGAAGGATAATAAAAATTACATCCTCTTTTTAAACATATTGGAAAGAAAGATGATAAACTAAAGCAACATAAGCTGACTGTAATCAAAATATTTTTTTTATTCTGCATGTAGGAAACAATATTATTTTCTCCCATCCACCTCCACATTATGCAGAATATTATGCTTTCGTCTTCCTTTTAGGTTAATTATAACTAAAATAACTCACAGTGCCTCTCTATAAACAAACAGTTTGCAAAACTTTTCCTGTATTGTACTAGCTCAGGATGGGGATTGTACAACTGAACTTTGTTTATGAAAATCTCAGGCCTAAACTGCATGTTCTTCATATGACACACAGCAGAGTTGCATGTCATTAGATTATTTACCTTAGTGTAAGTGTTCACAACTCCAGTTCAGAGCAAAACCATGGCACTCTGGAATTAAAACTGTGGAGGGATAGTGGGGTCCAGCAGCAGGAGGAGGCAGGCCCCTTGCATTGGGTACAAACATTTTTTTTTTCTCTTTTTAAGCACCCTACACACAGAGAAGGTATGGAATTTCAGTATGAAAATGGAAGTGGGAATCATGAATGCTTCCAGCTGGCATTCCATGATTCCACTCTGAATTAGGGATAGATGCAGGTCCATTGAGCTGAACAATCATATCTCTGCTATATGTGATCTGAAAAACTTGTAGTCTGGCCCTAACCTTCATATTCTGAGAATGCTAACACATCAGCCAAAAGGTTAGGACAGACAAAGCCTTCCCCCTGACATTTCCCCCCCATAATGTAGGAAGCTCTCTGTATGAGGGAGCATTGAGACATGCACCTACTTATTTAAGGTCTGAAGTGGCACAGTCCAGGAACAGTTTTACCATGTGTTGAGCTGTTTGCCCTCTAAGCTCCCACTTAAAAGTAGATAGATTGATCGGCTGACTGGCTGGCTGGCTGACTGACTGATTTCCTATAGCTCCCAATAACTGAGGTTCTATGAGTGGTTAACAAACCAGATGGCCAATTCCCTTGGAATTACAGGCACATCCTGCCAACCATTAGATGGATGACTGTTCATCATGTCACTTGGTGTAGAGAACAGTGATAGGAATTTATCTTGGGTTACCATCACAAGCCATCAACCTATATAACCATTAAAGGACCATTGTTGGGATACGGGACTGTTAAAGGGCCTTTGCTGATGTTTTGGAGAAAAATCTGCTGATAGAGGGGCCTGGGGTATGAGTGGTTAGAGAGCCCTTTGGGATATTTAAAACAGAAAAATAGCAAAAAATATTTGATGAGCTTGTTTAAAACACGTGTCAAGATGATTTTTAAATATGTTGACTGTTGTAAAACTCCTGGTCTCTGAGCAGCACTTTCCATGCAGAGCTAATAACTGAAGGTGTAGCAATCTGCAAATATTTAAAAATTCAGTGTCACAATAGAACAGGGTAAGTGCTTGGCAGATAGTTAGGGACTGGAGGAGAGAGCTCCTTCTCCTTCCCTCAAACGCTGTTCTTTTCTTTACTTGCATTCATACTACCCAACAGTTTCATAAGCAGTAGATGGTGTTTTGGAACAATTCAAGGCTCCATACTTTTCTCTCTCACTCCTCAGATTCACACCTACGCCTCTACTGCCACCCCCTTGTATTTCAGTGCTTTCAGTTGCTCTGGCCACCAGGACCCTTGTCTCTTCTTCATTGCTTTGGGGGGAAAAGTCTACAAAATGCCACTGGATATCTAAAAATCTAGACATCCAGGCACCACCTCCTTGAAGAATGCCCTGGCAGAGATACAAAGAAAGGAAGTGATAAATAGTCTCTCCTAACTCTGGGGTTATTTATTATGTTCCTGCACAGCTAAATAGCCAAGCTTGCTTTCCCCACCCTATCTTCATCAGCCTCTGCAGCAATGTTAGTTCTACTCAGAGTAGGTTGTATCCAGTGTTACTCCTACTCAGAATAGGTTGTTTCCAATGTTAGTCCTGCTTAGAATAGCTCAGTTGTAATGTAAATGTTTACAACTGTTGTAAACCGTCCCAAGACCTCTATGATGGGACAGGATAGAAAAGTTTTAAATAAATAAAATGAATGAAGTTTATGTAAGGCTAAGATTAAATGTGGGTCATGCCCCTCACAGTCTCGCTGAGGCATGTTGTCTCCTATCAGTGGAAACCATGAAAATTACTGTCAACAGTGAAAAAACAGCTTTTGCCCTGATATGAAGGAAAGCAGAAACTTGTTACTGTTCTTTGTTTGAAGGGATGCAAGCTATCCAAATATGTGGGAAAATATGGGTGGATTAGGGAACCGTTATTAAAAAGGCCCACTGTTCGTGCCATTCATAGCTTCATGAATGGGGGGCAATATACTGTAGCTCATACTACAGGTTTAGTGCTGACTCCAGGATTTGGAGAGCACTTGGGTAAAAAGCCCGCCATGCTCCCCTCCCTACGGAGTCAACCTCCATTGTCATCAGCTGCTTTTGCTCCTTATTTTCATCTTTGCTGCCACCTGCTTGTTGACAGCAGAAGGCTGGTGAGCAAGCTGGAAAGCGTGTCACCAGTCAGGTGAATAAGCAGGTTGCATTGATGAAGAGGAGGAGCAAGTCTAGAAGGCTCTTGCCAATGGCCCCCACTGGGGCATGGACCCATGGCAGTTGCTCAGCCATGCCTACCCTTGACACCAACCCTGTATAGAGGCATTGTCATTTGAAGGACAGTGCAAATAAACATTTATGGTGTCTTCAGGCAGATTGAATTAGCCTGGTGTTTCTGTAGAGAACAGGAGAGGTACACCACTAATGCACATTTATATCAAGTTTTCTTTGAAAGATGGAACCTTAAAAATGCATTCCCAAGAAGAATGGAAGCGTTAGGATTTCTTCGCTTCTAACAACAGTTGTACTGAACAGGTCTATTTTGGGAATTGTCAAGGCTGACAATTTGGTGGTCTGTTAAAAGGGTTTTTTTTTTAGTTTTTAAAAACATTTTAGATGTTTACATTTTTCTTGTTCTAGAAATGAAGAGTTCTATAAATGAATATCAGAATTTGTATAACGTGATGCTATTTTACCCACAATCTTTTAAAATAGTAGGCTTTTCCCAACATTGAAATGTCTTTAAATTGAAAACTAATGTGGGAATCAAACTGGCTAAATAACAACTTGAGGGCCAACAAAATAAAGGTTTATCATTGATTTAATAAGATTTTGGAATGCTATAGTGATTCTTAAGGAATATATTTTGGAACCATACTCCTTTTACACCTTCAGTGAAGCATAGCCTCCATTATACACAATCCTTTTATCTGCATACTTGCACCAATACACAGAGTTTTTAGGTATACAACTAGATTTAGAATTGGCTATGTATAACCATTTCAATAAAAAGGTCAGCTTCAGGTATCATTTTCAGTGTCCTGTTTCTGCGTATGAGAGATGCCACAGTGAGTGAAGCTTAACTCTGCTGGCAAGTACTCTGTTTTGTTTTCACCTGCATCATTTCTGGGATCTGCATTAATCAGTTATGTGTTTTACAAGTCCATTTTACATCTTATAAGTGATCCTAATCAGGCAGTATTAACCAACTTTTCAAAACTGCTTTGCTAGTTCGGTCACAATGGGGTGCCAAATCCAGCCCTCCTGGGACCCCAATCCAGCCCTGCAGAGTTCTCCAGGTGGCCATGACCTCTTCTCCACCTGCTTCGCCTTTCCCCCAGCCATTCAGCACTTGGTGGTTTCCTGTCTTTTCCCCTCATTCTGAAAGTTTGGATGCCTCCCCTGAAGCCTACTTACTAATAGCAGCAACTTTAGGCTACAGTATCCTGCATCCTAAAACTATTATTATTATTATTGGCATTTTGGCCCTGCCACTTTTGTCTGACGGCAGCACAGTCCCAAGGAGCTTCTTCACAATGGAGTTCGTCCCTCAGGTTCAAAAAGTTTCTCCACTCCTCTAGATAGTTGCATTTTGTGTGGATTACTTAGCAATATGGTGAGATAAAGCATTGCAAAGTTGATGTTGCAACTAAGTACATTCAGTTGTATGCAATGGTAGTTATATGTATGTATTTATTTATTTATAATGCTTGAATACAGCTTGATATATCATTCACTGGTTTAAACTAAAATACACCCATAATATAGATCGAAACAATACAGAACATTTTTAAACATTATAGTATAAGAGTCACAGACCAGAGCCATTTAAACAGATACTTTTCCAGAATTTCTGTTTCTTGGATTACTCATGGAAGACTTTTCAGATATTGGTTTCTGCTAATGTGAAAATATGCTTTTGTGATATTAACCAGTGGCATTCTATTGGTTGCTTTTTTGAAGATCTCATGGGTTGACTGGGAGGATGCAGAGGATGGTCGCTTGCTGATTATCCTGGTCCCAAGTTATTCAAGGCTTTGTGTGTCAGCCACAGAACCATGAACATGTCCAGATAGCTAACAGAACACTGCAGTTTTTTTCAGTGCAAGTGTAATAT